GGAGTTCTGTAACCTCTGGCTGTAACTGCCGCCTGTACAGCCAGCCTTAGTGGCCGCTTGTAGCGAAAAAAAAAATGACACTGAAAAGCGGTACTTTCATATGGAGCCAAATAGAATGACCTCAGCCCCTCCGCAGGATTTAAACTCACCAGCTTGAGATTTTGAACAAGTGCTTTACCGACTGACCTACCCTGAGAAAGGTGGTACGGATCACGCAAGAGCGAGCTCATTCTCATGGAGCGTGAATGAGCTCCAGTCATATAGCGCTGTCTCACGGCGTGTGTCAGAAATGAGAGGGAATCTTCGTTTTGAAAAAGGTCTACTTGGCGCTGCATACGCTCTGCAGTGAATCGGAGACGAGTCAAAATTTGGAGAGTACAAATACAGTCCTCAACTGTATAAATTGGAATCCATGTTTGCGGGGTTTCATTTTTCATTACATTCGGGGAGGGGGTTGGGGGGGGGGGGGGGGGGGAGTTGCGGTGTTTTATTTTTTCCACTTATTCTGTGTTTTTCGGCGTCAATTTTTAGTGGCAGGCAAGCACCTAGCGTTTTTGTCGGGGCTTAAGTTCATGAAAATGGTACAGAGGAGTAGAATTACAAAACCTTTGGGGAACATTCTCGTGACTTAAATACGCAAAAGACGTCCAGGTACCAACAGGAGAGTCAAAAGAAATAAAGGGTGTGATTTTGAAGAGAACAGGCAGGGCCTCGCCTGCAGCTCAGTGTGGGCTGTGTTTGTGCTAGCGCAAAATATACAACAGCAGATAATGACTTTCATCGCATGAAGCTTTTTTTTTTCTTCTAATTCAAGGACAGCAATATTTTGAGGGTTTTGGGTTTTCCCCTATTTTGATAAAACTGCCCCGGCGGTTAATTTTCGGAGTTTGTCTGTATATACAAAAAACGCGGAACCCTAATCATAAACGACCCGTTCGCCGAAGCAGTTTATGCGGTGGTGCTAAAATGACTTTCACCAAAGGTATTTAAGTAAGAATAGAACAATGGTTCACATATTTCCTCAGCATAATCAATGTCGACCTAGCGAAAGCGAATTCAGCAGAGCCGCCTGAAACTGTTTCATAAAATTGGTCTTTCAAATTGTTGAAGGTCACATCTCTGGTCTTGGTGGCAAAAGGGGATGTACAGGCGTCCACTCTTTTTGCAGCGGAATCTCCCTGTGGGCTCAACTGATCTTAGGATACCAATGCCTTGCGCTTTCGAGTGCGACGTGTCGTGGCGTGCATCAAGAAAAAAGAGTGTTGTTAAAACAAAGATGCGAATGCTAAGAGTAGTAACGAACGTCTTGTTCTAAAATGTGATTTCTCATTTGCTAGGCTCGGATCGGTGCATGATGGCGATGAAGCAGACACAGAAATAAAAGACCACCCTGGGGCTTTGAGTTGTCCCGAGAGTGACGAATACATCATGAGCTCTATTTCCACGTCCCATAATAGGCACCACTTCTCGAAATGCAGCTCTTTGCAGCTCCTCGTCTTTGCGACGTAAGTTCTACGAACATTTTCTCTTGTAAGATAGCTCGTAACATCAAACATCTTACTATTAATAAAGATTAAAGCAGACCTCTATCATAGAGAAAATAAATTAATCTTTTCGGCACGACGGTTCCTGTACGATGAACTCATTCATCGAATAAAACTTGCAACAGTGTTCAACCCTTACTTTTGTTTATTAAAAATAACTTTCAGCAATAAAGAAGGATGTTGCCTCATTGAAAAATCTCAGAGACATACAGAGCCTGTAGACATTTCAAGGATTGAAAAATGGATAGACCCGCAATCGTTCTGCAAACTGAGGCACTCGAACGTCGGGAAAGTCACGTATGTAAAGGTATGAACGATGCTATCTATATTCAGTGAAAGCTTAATAGACGCAGGGTTTTACGATTCCTGAGAATCTTATTATTAGCCCTCAGCCTCTAATATTTCGAAATTAATCAATAAGAACCCAAAAGAGCGAATAGCGAAGGAAGAAGCGTGAACCTGATAGAACACGCCCTGTATTGCTTAACGCTCAGTCTTGGGCAAGAAAAAAAAAAAAAAGCCCTTTTTGTTCGGTCATGTAGAGATTGACGCAAAACCTGATTTTCATTTCTCTTAGCTTTTACTCGGCCAAGTATATTACTTTTAATCGCGACAAAGTCTAATCGTCGTTCTTCTCAAACATCGCACGTGGCACTTAACCAAACGCCTCGGTGGCTCGGTGGCTCCTAGGCAAAGCGCCGGCGAACGAATCCCGGCCGAGCTCCCGTAATCTAACGGAGGCTCATTGCGAAGAAGGCGCCGTGTGAGCGAGCTCTGGGTTGTACGTCGAAAGATTTCCATATAGTCCAAATTAACCCTCCTCCTCTCGGGCGTGCCAAATGCCCGTCGTTTGTTTGGCACGTAACCTCACCCATCCTTACTCCCCAATTTGTGCACTTAACATAGTTAGCTCACCTCTAAGCTGACAATGCGGTAGAAGCCGTAGGCACGTTGAACTAGTAATACGCATGTCTTCCGCATTGTCTCCTCTCCCTCTATCAAACGTCATCAGAGTCGGATCGCGCTAACTTGGCTATTGGGCCCGAGCCCGACCTTCGACGCCCTGATTGGACACGAGGCCCAGCCGAACACTGACGCAGCGCTCGTGCCCAATCTGACGCCTCGATCAATCCGACTGTGATGACGCCTGCGGAGGCCTTCCGTCTAGATGGTGTTGGGTCCACGCGGTGAGAGCGATGTTAGGTTATGCAAAAGGAATAGTTGACTGGACCGCCGGGCGCGTAGACGATAGCACACTGTCAGCTCGAACGGCGCACAGCACGCTTTTGCTTCGTATAAAACTTATTTCATCGACAAACAAAGTAATTTTTGAGTCTACTGGAATTCCTCGGTCCGTTTAGCATTTTGCACACTTTTTTTCCTTAGGAAATTCCGCAAAATATAAGACATAAACTGGGATCCAAATATCCGCCAGGAATCAAGAAGTGCCAGCTGTTATGTGAGGTGGTCATAAACTCCAAAGTCCAATATTTCAGACACGACGCACCGGATGGCACTCCGTGCAACCAGAAAGACAAGTCCATGGTGAGTTCGCGTTTTCAAGATGTGTTCGCAAAGCCACATTTCTTACGACGGTAGGGACAAATGAACGTATTACGAGAAGCGTAACGAACACTCAAGCCGGAGTCACACTGCTTGTACATCGTACGAAAGACTGTCTCCATTAAAATTCGAATGCGAGTCACCGCGAGTCTGGTGCTTCGAATGCCGATGGCAAGGAATACAAGGAGAAAACTTGGCACGGGGCATTCGAACCACGGATATCGCGGTGACTCGTGTTTGCAGACTGTCTTTTGTATGATGTGTGATGCCCCTGTCTCACAAGAACGACACACAAAAACAAACGACAGCGACAAGCCTGAAACCAGAGTATATGGCGATTTGAGAGGCTTTGTAGAAGAAAGGTGCGTGATGCTCAAACACGAGCATCATGCACACGAGGGTATCTTTGGCAGGCTTGCAATCACTCGTGCTTACTTCACGAGCACGGAATGACTAAACCCCTGCCAAAGGTACCATCGCGAGTATACTGCCTGGTTTTGAGGCTTGTCGCTGTCTTTTGTTTCTGTCTCTCGCTCTAGTAAGACACAGGCGTGAGCGTGTGACCCTAGCTCAAAGTTGTTGCGGCAGCAGTTTTTGTCAAAAGCATTGCGCAAAAGCCTGATTACAAGCGCAGTAATTGAATATATGCTAGCTTAAACGGTAAGTACGTAAAAAGTTAACAGGTGCTAAAATTTTGACCTAGCTTAATATAAAAAAATGCCCACATTTAGCTTCCCTTAATGCTCCGTGGCGCTGCTCTGGGGAAGCATATATGTGCATAAACTCAGTTAATATTAAGAGTGTACATAATCTATAATATTTCTAGAACTTGGTTCCGACCAATGTTTAAGCAAGATACTTCTGATATAAAAATGGCCACAACAATACTGTCGCGCACTTTCAATAGGAAACGGGCTTGCTACCTTTCAGGTGTGTGTCAACAAAGTCTGTACCAAACCACCCACCGATATGACCTCCTTCAACGAAAGTCGTGTAATTAGAGTTCATCGGCCACCACGTTAAATGTAAAATTCGCGTAACACGATACGCGATAGTATAAAATAAAGCTTCATCATTGCCTTCCGATTTGTGCTGTTGTTTTGATTTTCTATAACTTGTTCTGGAATCGCCTGAACAAGCAAATCGTCAATTATGACTTTGCTTCTAGAAAGAAAATTCTTCTACACTGTGAGGCATGTACGAGAAGATTTAGGCCTTCACCTTGTTATTTCCTCTCTCTCTCTCCTCTTCCTCTGCTTGCGTTATGTTGATTTTGTTCTCCACATATATTCGCAGTGTTGAAAACAAATTTTAAAATATCCCTCGTCGTTTAATAAACAAAATTTATTTCTGTGCTTTCGCCTCACATTTCTTGGAATGAGTATACAGCCTTAAACGGAAAAGTGATGACAAAATAGAAACAAAAACTAACTGGCATAAAACATAGGCAATGAACTTGAAGGATGTTTCATCAAATGCGACTTTAACGGCTCCTTATATATAGTTGCAACCTTTTCAGCTGGGAAAATGACGAAGCTTCCAAAACAATTAGGCGCGAAACGTTTTAAGTACTTGGACGCTTGAACCTCGCCGTTTATTCTCTTTCATTGACAATGCTTAAATAGCGTTTAAGAAGTTGGGATCTCTTATAATTCCTTTCATTCTCTAGGATTTTTTCGCTAATCGAAGTGATCGGTTCTCCCGTTTTGACGTCAAGATAACCACTGTCATATTTAGGAAAACAAATACCTCCAGCAAGTTCAAGCCGATACTAAATTTAAAAAAAAAACAAAAAAAACTTTCATTTGCTTTTTTAGAACAAGTACATTTAACGTTCTTAACCACAGAACATAAAACGCAACCACAGAATCACAGTTTTTTTCTTCTGCTTCAATGCCCAAAAGAAAATTCATTCAACTCATTTCAAAGAAAGGTTCTTGCCATTTCACGTATATTAAAGATAAACTGCGCGAGGCTGCAGACTGTGGCGTGAGTGAGTAGCTTAGGTGAAAGAGCGGGAGTGATATCCCACGGGTGACGTCATAGTTCATTGGCCACGCTACTCACTGGTGTATTGAACCGCGGTAGTTCTTCAGAAATGTCGCTACATCGTATAGCAGGCGGGGGTCGAACGACCGCCGCCGTGCTCTGAGAAAATATACCCTGCTCGGTTACTTTTCTGCAGAACATGTAGCGTGTCCAGCAGTTGCCTATAGAGCATGTCGTGTGAGCGGGCATTGCCATCGGCGGAGTGGTTTCACGGATTGAGGAGTCGCAAAAATGTGGTTAAATCTCTAACACGCAATCTGCAAGGGAATTATGAGCATGAAGGCGCGTGCAGCATCTTGCCGCTACTTATAACCGAGTGCCTTAAAACCTCTTAAACTTTCTTGCTACGAGAGAACATACTGGCGCGGTTGCGTCCGCCATCCTCGCGGTCACCCTGAAACTTAATTTCACTCGAGAAAAGGATGCACAGAATTTGCGACGTCTAATGTACATACTAACTATGAGAAAGGGTCGTTTATAACATTGACAAAGGTTACTCGAAACGAGAAGGGAACAACGAGGAGCGATAAAAATAGAAAATATACGGAACCGCCAAGTGCGCTACGCGATAGGTGGCGCTAATCTGTTCACTTGTCCAGAGCCATCTATACTGAAAGAGTTTGACCAATTGGTGGAGTTTGTTGCCTGCTAGAACCAGCAGATTTTGCGATAACATAAAATTGCATCACCTTTTTGTCTTTTATTCTTGAGAAATCGAATGGATTGTCTATGAGAGAGAGCCCCAAAATGACGGACGGAAGTATAGTCACCTGGCGGCTTCCAGACAACGCTCCTGCGGTTGCCAGACACAAAATTTCCTTAAAAAACAACTCCGCTTCATTTTTTTTTAATTTAGAAAATTATGCAGTCCCATTCAGTATCATATAGGAAGACCAGATGTAAAATGTTACGATCTAATTCCGTCAATATATTTAATAAACTGGCCAGCAAACTTTAAATTGAGCCAAGTCGCCGAAATCTGCCAACTCTAGCGTGCGACGTGAGGCGCAGTCATCAGCGCAGTCAATGCCATGAAGTTAGAGCAGCCAACGTTGAACCACTACGTCAGAGGCTTGTCTACTTCATTCTCACGTTTTGTTTGTTTTCAATTCTCAGAGCGAAATCGAACGACGACGTTATGAGTTTCTCCTCCCGGTGTTGGCTCAACGGCGTCCACCTGATCACCGTAACACGGTTGCGCTAGTTCGCGCTGCCCTGCGCGCTTCTCGGAGCTGAGAGCTGGGAGCAGTCTTTTTCGTCTCGCCGCTGCTCTAGCTTGAGGAGGGCGTTTTGTTTACGATACGAGCGCAGGTCGTATCTTCAATGCTTCGCTGCGATGAATGTCAAAAGATCCATAGGCTCACGATGTTGTGTTGCTGCCTGCTCGAATTACCAGTTGACCAGCCCAGGAGGTGTCTCTCACAAGTTTCCACACGATGGTGTAGCAAACTATTGGCGAAAATTGCGGAGCAGACGACGCTTGCGCTTTGCTCTACGTTCGCCTGCCGTCGCATAGAGGATCACGTGACCTTTGAGGCTGTGATGACCCTCGTAGGGGAGGCACAGACCGCTGTGGTGAGCCCACGCTGAGGTGAGGAGAGACGAGGCGAAACGATATTTACTGTTTAATAAGAATAGGAGTCGTTGCTGGTGCCGCCCGCAGCTCACCGACCGTCGTGGCGTTCTGAAGGGATGGTGTCCCGTGTTGTCCGCCACTGTGCTGGTGCGTGGGCGAGTTGGCTCCGGGGCTCACAGAATTCAGGGGCTTGGAGCGCAGACGCTAGTGGGTGGTCTTGTGATTGAGGCGATCCGGGCTTCTCAGGGCTCGGAGGGTTCGGGGGCTTGGGGTGCTGACCCGGGTAGCCATTGTGTTTCCCTGGTCGGGCTCACGGGGTTCTGGGGTTTAAAGCGCTGACGCTAGCGAATGGCCTTGCGGTTGAAGCGATCCGGGCTTCTCAGGGCTCGGAGGCCTGGAGTGCTGACGTCAGCGGGAGGCCCTTCCATTGTGTTTCTCTGGTGCGCTGTTTCCCGCGCTCTCTCCAGCGCGCTCCCTGGCACTTTCCTCGGCGCGTCTTGCAGCCGCTCGGACTCGCTTCCCCCGACAAGTGCACTGCCCCCGACATGCCCCGACTCCCAACTAGGTCCCTATGTCTGGTTTCTCCGCTCCCCCTCTTCTCTTTCGTCTTCTCCCCTTCCCCCTCTCCCCCCGGGCCGTCACTGTTCACGCCATCCGAAGCGGCCTGCTCGCGTAACGTGCACTGTACCTTGCCACCACGAACGTCACAAGACCACGTGGTTCGACGTGACGCGGCCATGACTGACGACACGAGACCAGTGTTGGCGGACGCAACCGAAGTTTCGGTTTCGGTATCTGCTGATGTTTACATTAAAGGGATTGTCCGGTCGAAACCGGAAGTACTTAAGTTCTTGCGCTCGTTACGTCGAGGGAGCCTTCATATAGACAAACGTCATTTTTATTTTGAGATATGATCTCCCGTTATAAAGTAAACCTTTCATGATCCTATGTACGAAACTGCACCCCGAATTTCGCCGGTGTCAATGGCTGACATCCGTAGGTGCTGCGTGACGTCACAAAACGCAAAGGTTTTTCGAATGGTCGGGATAACAAGCGTTGGTCGATGAATGTCTTGTATTTTGTTTCGAATTATATAGTCTCCTAGGCAGTACCCTACTGAAAGACGGTTCTTTTAATGCAGTTCCCAAGCGCGTGCAAAAAAAGTCACGCCTTTTATCAGGATATTACTCGCAAACAGCCATAAGCTTCGAGCAAACGTATGCCGTTTCGCGCAAACACAACTGCGACGGACGCCGATCGAACTAGGGGCGCTTGCAAAGCAAAGGATGCAAATTTCGCCTCTGAAGTGGCACTTAGGTACACGAAGCGGCATCTGGATACATATTTCGGCGGATCCACTGGATCGGTGATGAGGCTGCGGGTCATTCCCTCAGAGGCGACGTCCGCGGGTCGAAGGCAAACGGCGAACCGTTCAAATGCATGTCGTCACTTGACTTGGCCGAGCTTGGTGAATCGTAGGTATTACGCTCCATTTTCACACGCGGGTCAAACAGATATCGGCTGCACGCGTGCTAAATACAACTTCTGGTATCATTTCGAGATGGCCAAGCTGTTGGTTTCGGTTTCGCTGCATAATCAAGGTCTGTTCGATTCGGCAAGGAAGTTCTGAACTATAGTCGGTTACAAGTCAAGAAGGTAGCGGCAAATGCCCCTCAAAGGGAATCTTTGCATTTCGACGATAAGTTCGCGGCATCAGGATGATTTTGCGTCAGGAGTCACTGGCGGCAGCGCGGTCGGTATACCAGTCACCTCGAAGACGAAGGGCTGACGATAGCGTCTTGGCCAAGACAATTATCGACCGTAACTTTGGCCTCAAGTTGAAGCGAGAATTGGCAAAAAAATGCCGATTCTCGGTGTTTTTCCAAGGCCCGTTAGTGGGCGTCCACAGATGCCAGCGGACAAAGCATGCAGTATTATGCTCAGGTAGGGGGTTTATGCGAGTGCCAACGCACTAAATCACAGACCTCTGCATTGTATCGGAGTCGTCAATATGCATCCAAGAGCAACTGAAGGCGGAGACTATCAAGAGGGCAACACCTTTCTTGTGTCTGTAAGTAAGAATATCAACACTGTGGATTCCCACATAGCAGCAAAAAGAAACAATTTACGTGAGCCAATATTTTAACACTCACCAGAGGGAGCCATACCTACGCGAGCAGGTGCCTAAAACGCTTTTAGAATATCATAATCAAGCAAATTCCTACCCTCGGTTATGATCTCAATTCCGCGTCCACCGCGGGTACGTTATTATCATAAATGAGAGAAAATGCAACCTCCGTATCGGCGTTATTGTTAAACATCGCAGACATCTGAGCAAGCGCTGCGAAAAACGGCACCGCGAGCAGAGACGGACGAGGAGTTCTGCTATCGCCGTCTGCTCTTGTCGTCTGCTTCTGCACGGACGCTGAACCGAGTCCGGAGCCGGTGCAAGATTTTGAGGAACTGGGTCTGAACCAGATCTGAACTCGTTCAGAACTGGGATAAATCGAACGCGCCAGTGCAGCGGTCGTGCAACTTCCGGTTGAAGCGAATTAATGCACCAGTTCCTGCACTGCCGAACTAGTTCAGCCAGTTCAAGCGAATCGAACAGACCTAAATTGACTGATCCGATTTGGGCGAGGCGTGGGTGGACGTAGTTTAATATCGTTGGCACAGCATCACACCTCAGCTTACAAGCCTTTTGTCCGCTGAGAGCTCAGCTCGTAGCTTTCTTCTGTGAGATGATTGCTGCATAAGCAGGATCTCAATCTGGACGGGAACCCAGTCCCTACGCACGACGGCGATCCACTTTGCTCGTCACTGCACGTCTCGCGGAAAAGTGTGGAACGTCATGTCTTGGCTCGCATGTGCTGCCCGGTGGTTGTGGTACCCAACCGCGCAACAAAACTCTCACCCAACCACGAAACAAGTCGAGCACAACAACAAAAACGAAGCACGCTGTGGCGTTCACTCGAAGGCAAACAACGAGACAAAAATGATCGCTTTGTGTTTTGTGACGTCAGAGGTTCAATGTTGCCAACGAAAGCGGCGTTTACGCTAGAATGCGATTGGAGCAGTATAAATTCAATTACTCACGCAGAGGGGCATATAAAATTCGGATATTGCACGTACGATGCTTCTCAAGGCAATAACAATGATATTCAATTGTTTTCTCGAATACAAAATTTGACCGGACAATCCCTTTAAGATTACACATATAATATTCCACATTTCGCGAATCCGAAGACGTAGAGCTGTTTACTAGTGCTTTGGTAAATGGAATCGCGTATAAGACTAAAATTTTCGGAATTGATGGGAGTTTCCCTTTAAGAAGGTCAAACTACCTCAGGAGAAATGGCTCTGCTCAC